TTGTCCTTTTTATCATAGATAACTGAATTCGCTGAAACAAATTGGATTAAGCGGTCCGCCATGTTGAATTTGACGTGTCAAGCTGCATTGTGATTGGTCAGAAGTGCTGCCGTCGCCGCGACGAGTTGGAAAAATCGACCCGGAGGCGAAAAAAATTAATGTCGCTTTTCGCGTCGCGAAATTACGTCGGCGGTGTGCAATGTATCATTGACAAGTTATTGGTTCGAAAAATAGTATTGACGCGCGAATAAATCGCGCGTTAAATTCGCGTCTGGTGTGAAAGGGCCTTAATCAAACTTTTTCTCTCTAGTTATCCTTGACCATAATGCACCCTGCAAAACTCATGAGAATGACTAAGCATTTAAACTAGACATCCTGTCTCCACTAAACATTTCTAATACACCAAGTATCTAACCAATTTCTATCTGACTAAAAAAATACCTAACAGTGTGTACCACCATCAGATAGAAGAAGTGGCTGATACCGAAAAATCCTACCAGTGGCTGGTCAAGACTGGACTAAAAGACAGCATAGAGGCACTAATCCTGGCAGCACAGGAACAAGCTCTAAGCAATATCAATAGAGGCAGAGGTCTACCATACCAGGCAGGACCCCAGGTGTAGGCTGTTCAAAGATGCCCCTGAGACAATCCAGTGCATAACAGCGGGGTGCAAGATGCTAGCAGGCAGGGCAGGCTAAACAATCTCCATGCAAATTAACCATAACATTCCAAACAACTGGCACAGAGGTCACACAATACTGTTTGGCTAGCCTATTATGCCCTCTACTTATCATGCTATGAGCACTTATAGTCCCCACATTCCAGAACATTATCATCTGCAACAAGTAGGTATTGGTCTAGAAATTAGCTTTCAATGCATAATGGCAAATAAAAATCTTGAATTTTAAAGTAGAAAGTACTTAATTTAAAACAACCATTAGATGGCAGTAGTGTACAATAAATAGGCTACCACCCATCTATGCAGAGGTAGACCCACTGTAAAAGTCCACTGGAAAAAACTGATGCAAGTGGGATTTTTTGTTTGTTGGTTTGTTTTTGTTGTTGTTGTTTTGGTTTTTTTAGAAGTACTTTGGTTTAGTAACATCCATGAATAGTTTTTGTCTTCATTGTTCTGCACATTTCTCATTTTTACTGTTTTCAAACATGCTCTCATTCCTGTTCTCACAACTGCTAACGAGTGCTTTTGGAGACAGTAGGCCTGTCGGATGTTTTGAAGACAACTAGCCTACTAAAATATCAATTATAAATGTATCAGTTATAATTATATCATTAAATCTTCAGGTGAGATGATATAGCTAATTGTCTGCATGATGCATTTGTGATTTAAGAGTACAGGCATGAAAAAATCTCATCTTCTTGATTAAAGCTTATATTAATGCAGTTACTTCGAGTAAAGAAATACTGAAAAGTAGTTCACAATACACATATCAGTTAGTATTTATTAACAATATTTTTCCTTAAATAACTAGAGTACAAGGTACATAGGTTCATTTCACTTACAGCCACAAATACCAAAGATATTTACAGGTTTATGTACAATATATACATATGCACAGGAGGCATGTACACAAGGCTTCAATGTGTACCTGTGGGATTAAAGCTCACACATTTGGCTACAGCCTCAAGAGTCATGAGGGAAGTTCATTGACAGACCCACAAAAGACAACACAAACTGACAAAATAAAACATTTACAGGATGTACAATTATTAGAGTTTATGGGTGAAAATGGCATGTACAGCATGTAGCATGTACAGTATCCACTTCTAGTGATAAAAGGAGCAACTTAGGGGAGAATAAACTTAGAAAAATACAAATAAAGTGAATTAATTAACATTGTCACATTGGCAACCCAGTTGGCAGGGCAATAATGGAGATGTAGCAGTATGTATAACATATGACACTATGTACACATTTCCAAATCAACAGATATGAAATATGTCAACTCTCACTTTCATAAGAGATTGAGATGATCACAAAGCATCCTGGCTGTTCCATCAATAAACACACATATGTACAAAGAAAAAACAAAAAAAAGATAAGTTCACTTCCCCATCTTCCAGTCTTTTTTTTCACAATTATATCCTTCCCTTTTTAAATACATATAGAGTATATAGAGTAAAGAGTATAGACATACTAGTGATGGCAACATGCATCAAAAGGAGTATGACTGTTTTAAAATTTGACTACCACCCCATTTCCCTCATTTTCAAACTACTAATTTGATTGGAATAACATAAAATATTTAAATACTGCAAGACATGACTTTCCAGCAAATCTGAATTCAAACCCAGTAAAATCAAAACTAATAAATATTTAAATAATGATATTACTAAATTAGTTCTGGTTGTAGCCACTGCTTTGCTTAGTATTAAAGGAAATGAAAGCATTCACAGAAAAGAAGCTTGTCCCCTCTTCAGCTGCTGTCCTATCAGTACGATATACATAATGCAATTGCTGAATGGATGTTGCAGTTACATATGCAAATTAACTGCTTTTACTATTGTAGTGTTTTCAGTAGCCTGCTATGGTGAGCAAATAAAGAAAGCCCTTCATAGCACAACTGTTAATGTCTGGCCACCGCTTCTTTAAAAAGAAAAAAAGGAAATTTTAAAAAAAGGCTGGTGATGTGGGAATTAGGTGGAAATCGAGTGATTGACTGGTTTCAGTAAACTACAAGAAGAAACTGTAAAATTACAAAACATATAAATATGTTCAAAATCCATCCCAGTAATTGAAGAGCATGTGAGTGAAAAATGTCAGTTCTGCAATTTTAACCCCAACGCAGGGATAAACTTAAGGCATTAGCACTGTTTGTTCAAGTTTCTCCCAATGTTCACATCTCAGAACAATGAAGCTGATTTTAAGCGCAATGCTCAAGGTCATTTATGTTCAGTGTTGTATGTACAAGGATGGAAAAGTGTTCACGTCCAGTAAGTAGCACCAAAAATGGCAGCACCGGAATATTAAAAAACCCCAGCTTCCATCACATTTCATGGTTTTGAGTGATTTCAACGGAGAACAAGACCAACGTTAAAAAAAAAAAATAAAGATTTTTTTCCACAGTACTCAAAAGTTGTATGTTATACAAAAAGTAAGGCTTTTGACATGCAAATGAACAAAAGAAGAGCGTGACTCTCATGCCTCAAGAATGTCACAGAGGATGATGGTAGATTGTTTGAGAAAGGTGTCTGTGGCTCAAATGACGACACTTGAGCCATTCAAGTTCTGGATACATGGAATAGCAGCTCTGACCGGCCCAGGTCCGTTGGTCCGGCCCAGTGCAAAATGCAAGTCAATCATTGGATTGCCCTGTGGGCCTTTCTAAAATTTGCTAGACCGTGTTGCCCAGTTCTGTTGAGTCCGTTTCTGAATCTGCCTCATTGTCCCTGCAAGAAAACAAGGGTGTCTTAGGTTGGAGTTTTGCTTTAGTTATGCACAAAGACAGGACAGTAAAGCAGTCGACTGGCCACAGCCTCACCTCTGTTCCTGCAGCAGTTTGCGGTTGCCTTGCCTCCTCTCCTCATCGATCGGATAGAAGTGCAATATGACCAGGCCAACAAAGATGAGAACTATAGGAGCAGCGGAAACCAGCAGTTTCAGGGTTAAATTCACTTCCTTTGGTTGAAAGCAGCCTCTACTAATGTAACCTGCAAAGCTAAAGAAAAGAAACAGAATGATACAACTTCATTCTAAGTATTTCATGCACTGCAGGGCATTAATGTGTTATACTACTACAGAACATTTTTAGTAAAACTAACATCTTGATGTGAAGATAAATTTCACACCAAATCACTGATCAGAGAACTCACCGCTGTGAAGTCAGTGATGTGGTATGTGTGCGTGCATCACACACATACACACTACAGCCTTACTGTACTTAATCAAATGGAAGTAAAAGGAATTTGTTGCTTCGATGTGGGATTTAGGTGCTGGGAAATCATAGCTTCATTTACATTTCACTTTACCATGTCTCTGTGTGTTCTACAAAACGTTTATCATACAGGTTATCTGTGTGTGTGTGTTCATGTGGAGTACTTACTCTAAACTGAGAGTGGAGATGCCCAGGGAGACTCCAGAGGCAAACTTGGTGAAGAAGACATAGAAGGAATAGAAAAGAGCTTCATGTCCAGTGGAGTTGGGGTTCTGCACTTGGAAATCATCGACAACATCAGGCAGCATAGACCTGAAAGCCAAAGTTAGAGTCAGAATTGGTTTTCCATCGACAACCTTGATGATACTTTGTGAAAAAGCTAACCCAGGATCAGCAGGGGTCTTACCAGGGCAGCAGGAAGGCTGTGGCCACCCCGGCCCCGGCAGCAATGGAGACGATGTAGGAGATAATCAGGCTACTCTCCATACACACCACCAGGATCAAAAAGGGAACCACAGACTGGAAAGAACAGGCAAACATTGAACGACTGAAGTACGCTAGATCAGCTGTCAGTCATGCACATTTTCCTACAACAGCACTTATTTCCTGTCAATCTTACAGGCTTCATATGACTCAAAACTAGCATCTGGATATGACTTACCAAGGTGCCAACATAAACTGCCGTCTTTTTCCCAAAGCGAGTCAGAAACCACTGCCAGACAGGGATCGTCAGAGTAGCGGACACCTGAGAAGGAAAAACAAACAAACAGTCTTTTTAACCGGCTGTTTTGTTTTCACACACACATACACCCTCTCAGTCTGACACTGAAACAATTCCGAGTACAGTCCACACAACTACAGGTTAATATGATTTTGGTAAAGCAACACGGGACAACCCTCTGTGACACATTACATGTTATTAAAAGAAGCATGACATTCTCAACATGCTCAGTGATGCAGAAGTACACCTGACCTCTCCTATTTGCCCAACACCACAGTTAAGACGGAAGATAATACGGCTTCTGCAGCTATTCCCAAAACAAATTTGAGCTCAGTGTTACGCAGAATACCACAGGGTTCATCGTCCCGGAGGGCAGAGGGGTCACTCAGATATGCTTGGCCTCTGACCCTCCCTGTGTTTAATAACACAAAGCTCTGATGCAACAGTATTTTTCCAGTTTTTCCTATGCATGAGTGCAACAGTAAGCTTAGAGCTAAAGCGCCCACATGCCACCCCCGTCTCTCTGCACAGTCATCCTTGTTGCAGTAACATTGGCCTGTGGCTGCAAAAGCTGTTATGTGGCTTCTCACTAGGCACGCATTCTCATTTCATTTCCATCCTATTTGAATGCACAAGAGTCTTTGATATGGTGCACTTGGAGTCAAAAGTTGATCTTCTAAACCATCACCTCCTTGCAGAGACATCACCCACTGACCTTTAATCCTCACCAGCCTTCAATTAACATGCCTTTATCTTCATAACATCCTCATCAAGCTAGGTTTTACACCATTGATCCCAGTATAGTCCTGCTAAATAAAACTAAAGAGCACAACAGGGCTTCTTCTCTAACATGAACACTGTCAGGGACTTGAAAATGAGTTAATTTGCTGTGCATCAAAGCTGGAGAACAACATGTATTTTGCAACATGTTTCGCATTAGAAAGAAAGTACACACAAGGCTCTTTTTGCTGTTGCTATTTTATGAACTCCCCAATGCTCTCTCACATTATTTCATCACATTTGACCTTTACTGTTCCCATCAGTAACTGACAACCTGTTTGATTTTCAAGTTTTTATATGGTATATTAGTTCGATTTTTTGACTTCTCTTTGCTAGAAGAAGACCTGAGCTTCTCAGATTAGGTTGCCATCTCATCGCATTACTGAAAATGAGGATTAGGATCACTTATTGCTGATTAGGTAACTTCAGTTTCTCTAAAAGCTCAGTGCTGAAGCCTTTAAAAATCATTTCACTAAATAAGAACTCACAAAAAGATCACTCCATTGACTTTATAATCTTTTTCCTAAAGTAAAGCATCAGTGTGTAATATTTTCAGCCTCTCTAACCTGTACACTTCTGCTGTGTATGCTACAGGCACATCTACAAATTAACTGTGTTGTGAAGACTGACTGATTCTTTGATATGGGAAATGCTTTTTTTTCTGGAGAGAGCTTAATTTAAAAGAGCAGGCCAAGAGACACATGAAAGGAGATGCTAATGTGACTCCTGTACTGTCTGTGGGAAAGGCGCAGCATTCAGGCACAACAGTCAGAATGGACACATATCATGGAAATGGGCAGTGAGGAGACAACGTTCTAACAAAGTACAGTGTAGCTTTGTAACTGGAGACAATTTATGTGCTCGCCTTGGGAGGGACGTTCTTGTCTGCACTCTGAAACTATTGGATCTCACAAAAGGAGATTCCTAACGTTTCAGATGATGATCACTGCTACAGGACAGTTTGCCTATCTGTGTGTCTCAAACTGTGTCTGAAAATGCCACCTAGTATGCGCTTGAATATGTGTGCGCACTCACCATGATGACCAGCAGAATATTGTGGAAGTTGCTTCTGAAGCCTAACGTGTAGCAGCAGAACAGAGCAAAGTTTCCCTCCAGGAGCTGTGGGAGCGAGTAGACAAGACACATTCAGTTAAAATCTTACAGCTCAAACACACACACACACACACACACACACACACACACACACACACACACAACCACACACACACACAGCTGTGTCTGATGGGGGGACGCAGGCGACACACACACACCTGTGTCTTCTGGGTGGACACAGGTATCACTAAATAAGCCTATAGTATAAATCTAAATACATATCTGTATACACACCATGAAAGCCAGTGAGGTAAAGAGGAAGACTGAAACCAGTTTGGCATATGGCCCGAAGCCCATCACCAGCTTAATCCCCTGGAAGAACCCCATGGGCTCCAACCTGGGGCGATAACACTCTAGGGGGAGGAAGTACGGGACAGAATGAAAAAAGGTGAAAAATTACATACACTTGAATACTTTTCCAACTCTTTCATTCCTACTAGCATTAATTTTCATTTTCAGTCTTATTAGTCCCTGGTCACAGAGTTTCTTCTTTGAATAAAGCCTGTGTTCACTCATACAGCCTGTCAGCGCACAGCCAAACCATAGCATACAGCTGTAACTGTGCATCCTCATTAGACCACAGGAGAAATGTATACAACAGCTGTGTCCCATGAAGAACACCCCTTTATCTGGATCTAATCAGGGTGTTAAACTTGAGCAAATGAGGCCATTATTGTCAAAAAGTCAAACCCTACAGCTAAATATAACTAACCTGGCATAAAAATATGCAAATGAAAAAGGTACAGCTTAACACTGGAAAAACTAAGAAATGTCTCAGATTCACAATTTACTTTTGAGCTTTCTTTTTACAACTTATTTTGGTTTTGAATTAAAGTATAAAAGATGCAATCAAAAAGAGAAAGGTGAAAGAAGGAGCCAGGCTGATTACGAGACCAATGCCTTACCTTTTTTCTCATGCACACCGATAAAAAGAACAGCAGCACAGAGGACATAGATCAAGGAGATCACACCAGAGGCAATCATGTAGGCTGTTCTCTGTATATGAAGAAGAAAAGGACAACAGTTAGCGCAACATTTGTATCCTAAACCTTACATAAGCTTTTCATATTGGTACTTTTTGTCTGAACGGTAAGTTATGAGCCTTTGCTGTCAAACATATAACAGTGACTACATTTGTTTACCGTGTTTTCCGGGGAGATGACAGACTTGGAGTCATTGAGTGTGAAGGACTGTGAGGAGTTGCTCAGGTCTGCCAAGATGTCACCGGGTCCTGGGAGACAGGGCGCATTGGCCGTGCCTACTATCTGGCCCTGGATAGCTGTGCCAAGCACACTGCCCAGAACCTCCATAGTCATTCCTCATTGAAAGAAACATGGGAGACGTTTAGTCACCGAAGAAGTCTTTTTTGAGAGAAGATTCATTTAAATAATAATAATAATTTTACATGCCGACTATGAGACTCACTGTATGCGGTGGCTGAGTCTCTCTCTTTCTGCTCTGAGCTGATGAACATGGTGAGTGCAGAGTATGGCACATGGAAGCACTGATGGCAAAGACCAACAGCAATTAATTCAGGTTAAAAGTAATTAATTCAGGTTAATTCAAGTTAAAGTAATTATTTGACAGTTAGGGAAATTTGTTTATTGTGTTCTGGCAGAAAAATCCATGAGTAGCTGGATACTGTGTCTGTATGTGAATGAATCTGAGACTGGTTAGCTCAGCTTAGCACAGGCTGCAAACAGATGCGCCTGGGGTAACAAAGTTGGCGTACTAGTAGCCTACCCCTAAAGGTCACTGATTAACATGCATTTCCATTTCTTTAATTCATACAAGACCCAGCAGAGAAATTACAGGCCCCAGCCAAGTAATAGTAAATAACCATTCATAAATAGATTATATGAGTTTAGAGCTGCTGGAGGGTGGATTTTTTTTACTCTGGACAGAGCTGGGCTAGTTCTTTCCACCTGTTTACTATTCTCCTGGATGAACTTTAATGCTTACTTTACATTTTCGTGAAATTAAAGGATTTCCTAACAAAATATTATGTATATTTTGGAAAGAATGCTTCATATGGGCAACTGTGGCTCAGGGGTGTAGCGATCGTCTCCTAACTATAAAGTTCGAGGTTCGATTTGCAGTGCCTGCAGTCCACATGTCGAAGTGTCCTTGGGCAAGACACTGAACCCCAAGTTGTGTGTGTGTGTGTGTGAGAGAGAGAGCGGGCACCACAAATGGCTGCCTCAATTATGTACTGGAGACACATTCCTTGTGTGTATAACCTACTTGGCCAAATAAAATGTTCAACATCATAATGTGACAAGAAGACATAAGTCACTAAGGTTACTGACGCCATAATAACCTTTAATTTGATCAGTAGTCACTGAGGGAGTGAGAGCATGTAGATGGTAATGACCGTGTATTGCACATATAGGACAAGCAAGTATTCGCTGGGAAAGTTTGTGTGTGGTACTCACAGTTTGAAGAGTCTGGAAGATGCAGTAGAAGAAAAGGTACCAGATGACTTTGCCATCCTCAAAAGGAGGAACGTACCATATGAGAAAATAGGAAAGCACAGCCAGGGGGGTTGAGAGCAAGATCCTACAGATGGACAAGGGAGAGAGGGGGAGAGGAACGAGACGAGACAACAACAACACTGTCAGCGTGTGTAACACTCAGACTAGCTAGATGTGAGGGCTATGTGAGGCTATGACACTGGAGGTTGCTGCTAAGAAAATGAGGCCATTATATGTGAGAATGAGAATAAGAAAAGGTTTAACATGCCATTTTAGTTTAGGAAAAGCATCCATGCAATCCTATAGCACTCCTTTTCCTCTCACGTCTAACATTATGATGTCATTTTAAAAAGAAATCCGACAGAAGTGGAATTTCTTTCCTGCCCTCTAGTCACCCCCCTAACGTCTGATCAATGCCCTCCAATCAGATACAAGATTGTGAGTGTGACCACACCTCTGACGTGCAGGAAACAGGAGAGTGTAGCAATCTGCTGCTCTGTCAACTCTACAGGAACTGTTCATTACGCTTACATCAGACGATTCATCCTCGTCAGACAGGATGTGAAATCACGCATGCATCACAAGACTACAAGTAAGAACATGACACTGTTGTACTATACACAAATACAGTGAACCAACTCCTTGCACTGGCTAATATCCAATCTAAGAATAGCTTCGCTGAGGACTGGGCTGCTAATGACCTTTTCCCTATTTACAGCCAAACTCTGAAGAGTTTTAACAAGAAATGTCAGGAGGTACACACTTGAGATGTGATTAACTGTACATGTATATGAAGTCACTGTGAAAGAGTGCAACATTTTATCTGGAGATGACGGTACATTCAGCAGTGTATTTAGATGCTAATTTCATCTGTGCCACATGAGATGAACAGCTATCGACTTAAACACAACACTTCATCTGGCTTCATCCCTGTACTTCAGTGAAGATGCCTTTATTTGAACTGTTTTTGTTTCATCTGAAACATGGATGAAACAGGATACAGTTGCAAAAACAGAGACTGAATCCTAGAGTCCCATCTTTATCAGTTTATGCTGTTCTTAAACAGTTTGTAGGGCTAAACTCAGACTTGCATGGTGCTTTGATACGGTAGGCCATATAAGCAGCAGCCTCATGCCTCAACTGGAATCATATTTATATGTCCTCCTAATAGTCACGCTTACTAGGGAGGGGTGATTTCATCTCAGCAAGTGAACTTGACACAAGACAGTTTGTATTCTGGCACGCATTAACTGTGCAAACTTGTTTCATGAGCTGACAGTGAAATATAAAAGAATTCTTTTGTCATCGCTGGGTTTGGTCTGTGCACAGCTATATAAAAGTGCCAAAGACTCTGGCTCTAAGGGCTTGACCTCATGTCCCATGCTTTGACAATAACTTAATAATAAAATAATAAGGAAATCATGCTTTATATAGAATTTATGAGACCAAAAATCCTTAACTCAGTGGTAAGGTAAAGCACCCACATCTTAAACCTCAGCAGCCTCAATTTTAAATGTATATTAGGATAGACAGACTCTCTGTATTTGTTCATATTGTACAATCAGTGTCCAAAGAAATTAATGTGGATGCATGTTTGGGGATTAGCAGGAAACCTGCAGTCTGTGACTATTCCAGCAGCTCTGCAGAAACAGTGTAGCTCATTCTGCTCAGGCTTCAGAACCTGAACTACAGTAACCTCCTGGATTCCTTTCCTGGGCTTCTGAGCTGAGACTTTATTGGCCAGAGCAGGTGGTGTGTTGCAGGCTGGACCAATCAGAAGCTAGTCTCCTCCCCTGCTTCCTGTGCACAGATTTAAAGATGGAGCAGTACCCATAGTGACCAGCATTGCCCTCATCTCCTGACAGTTGAACTTAGCAAAATGTGACAATGAACAATCCAATCATTCCTCTATCCTTTCTTCCTCCTACAACCCTCCATCTAGAATGAACACAAATGTTGCAAAAGCCACTACTGCCACTTATCTTTTCTGACAAGAGGTTCCTGCTCATCCTGTAAACTGGCATCTGTGGCATGCTGGGCGTTTACACTTGCCACAGCTTGCTTTCAAAAGAAGCATATATTTATGGCATTTCAGAGAAACTGCTAACCATAAGCACAGGACGATGATTCCTTTGTATTCTAAATTAATTATGCAGGTGTTCTCAGTGCAGCCACACCGGAGGGATCATTAACAAAGGAAACTAAAGTGGGGGCTACAGGGGGACCTTTGTGGCTATAGGCTCACCTCCCAGTTGTGCTCCTTCTTACACAGGGCGCACATATTTCATAAGCAACTAGGGAGATTATATTTTTAATCAAGCAGGCAAATGAGTAAATAAGCTGTTATAACACCCAGCCCTGTATCTCCCTGTGGTGCTCATTATAAACTGTCTAGACCCTCTGAGACATTTACTTTGTATTGTCCTTCACTCTGTCACCTCTGTGCTGACGGGAGGTGGGCGCCTACTTCTAGAGCCACCATCTCACACCAGCACCCTACACTGCACTTCTCTCATATAACCATGTGAAATATACCCCTCAGATATGGACCTGCAATTTCTCACAGTGAAGAAAGAGGCAATATAAAATTCAGATAAGCCCTTGTAGGCTGTTTAGACATCAAGATGCAGAGGTATGGGGGAGGTGATATAGAGGCTAAAAAGAAAAGGGGCAGTAGCCTTTTTGTGAAAAAGGCCTTAAGTATCACAGGCCTCGCACTCCCTCAGCCTGAACGCCACACACAGATAAAGATAAAAGCTAATGTTTTAAATTTAATCCTGCTCTGTGAGAGATTTCACAGAGAGTTAGACTGCACTGGTCAAGCTGAAAGTAAAACCAAACACTTTGTGCCATTTTTTTTTTAAAACAGCTGAAAATGAAAACACTATTCAGTTCTATAAAATTCTAGTACCTGAGTCCTCTAGAGGAATTCTTCCTGTGTGCTTCCTGCAAACAGCAGACTCAGTAGCAGGCAGGAGTTATATTTGTCAAAGCCTTGCCAAAGGCCATGCTGTGAGAAATGTGCATGGCCCTTTTGTTTAGTTACAAAACAGTGGTCCAGTGGTATAGCCTGGGCCAGTTCAAATAAAGGCATTTTTCAGTAGATTATTCGATGGCTAATATGCTTAGCAGAAGTTGTATGTGAGAGAAATGGGGGTGGGAGGGAGCTTGAATGTACATAGGTGTGGGCAATGAGAAGTGGTACAGCAGTAACTGCATCAGATATGACCCATAGCGACCCCTCCTGTGACATGACAGTGCTGAATTAAATGGAGTCTCAGCAAATAGTCCCTCCCATAAACATGGACACATGTAAGGCGTATAGCTGGAAAATTTCTACTGACCAAGGGTGACAGCTACCCCCAATTAAGCATTTCCAAAAGCAGATAAAGTAACAAAACTGCTCCAATGACACAAGTGGGCTTCATCGACAAGGTAACAGAAAAGGTTTGGGCCAAACCCAAATATGACAGCTACTGTAGAAGAGGGGGCTGCTCCAGAGAAATGACCCAGGTCTACTGCAGAGCTCTAAATGAATATCTAGTTCTCATATAAATAATGTTAAACAGCATCAGGCTCTTGCTTGCTGGGAGTCAGACCTACCAGGGCAGCATGCGTCCGAAACGTGTCCAAGGACTTCGTGAGACCAGGAAGCCCACTGTGGGGTCTGTTATGGCATCCCATATTCGGCCCACAAACAAGATGATGGAGGCATAGAAGGGGTCCAACTGTAAAAGCAGTGGTCATAAAGATTACAGCAATTGTGACAGCAAAAGCACACAATACAGTAGCTAATTAATACAAGTGTGTGTCACATAATCTTTGACTGTACAGTTAAACTCCTGGCTGATGAAGCAGTCGGCAGCGCATGTGTAAAACATGACATTTATAGTGAATAAAGGGTGGCTGTGGCTCATGAGGTAGGGCAGTCGTCTTCTGACCAGCAAGTTGGTGGTTCGACTCCCGGTCTCCCCGCATGCCTAAGTGTCCCTGAGCAAGACACTGAACCCCGAATTGCTCCTGGAGGCTTGACTAGCGCCGGTGCATGGCAGCCTGTCGTCATCGGTGTGTGAATGTTGTGTGTGAATGGGGGAATGGTGTATGATCTTCTGTAAAGCGGTTTGGCCAGTGCAACACACTGTGAGAAAGCGCTATATAAAATACTGTCCATTTACCAATACTGTTGAGTTATCAGTAAGTCATTAGCTAAAAAAGGTAGCACTTAACAAAACTAAAGTCAAATAGTGAAGGTACCTCTTGTATGCTCTGGTGTGGAGCTGGGAGGAGATAAATGCTCAACTCCTGACTGTACACTGTGCACCATGCTGCGTCACCCAGTACACTCTAAATCAACTGTCTTGGTAGGCAGACAAAGCTAAACCCTGGGAAGAGGTTGACTTACATGCTAGTTTAGCTTTAACCACCAGATTAGTGTCAGGACCCGTTAAAAGTGAGCCCCACCTCACTGTGCTACCATCACCCACCCACCCCCATCATTTTTCATAACAAGCCTCTGTAAGCCTTTTGATACAGTGGAGCCCCATCATGAAGTCTGTAATGGAAAGAAGAGTAGAAACATTTTCCACCTCTTTGTTTTTCCAGGACAATCAGACCCTCTGTTGGTGAGCTTTGGTGGTCACAGTGTCCTTTATGTACCCTTATGAGAGAGGTGCTCTGAGGTCACATGGAGGATCAACTCCTTACTCTCAAGCCTGTAAATATCACCTCACATACTGTGGCAGAACAGCAGAGTGTGGAAAGCAGGACTGTCTTTTAAGGACAGCAGGGTGGCTATATTTAGGTCAGTGATATGAAAGTAACACTAAATGTCTGGATGGGTTTGATCATGGAGTTTTCAGATCATCTCATCCAACTCACCTGAGCTACATCCAGTAGATAAAGCTGCAGAAAAAAGCCCAGGGCACATCCTGTCATCTGGTAGGGTATGCCACCGATGGCATAGCTTATCTTGTTGCAGATTGATAGCCTGTTCCTGTTCTCGTGCTGGGGGACAAAAAATATACAGTTAGTCAAGGGAAAAAATCAAATATTGGAACCAGGATGAAGACATAAAAGCAGATGAGCTCTGTCAAAATACTACTGTAAAAATATCACCTTATAAATGAACCCTGACTCAGGACACATTACTCATTCAACATTAACCTACTTTTGGAGGAAGTGCATTCGCAGCTGCCCACAAACCCTTGCAGGCTTTGGCATGGCCCGGCCAATGTAATTATAGGAGAGACCAATTCAGCAGAATCAGCGACAGCAGTCTAACCCCAACAAGGTGACTGCAACACAGCAGCTTACAGTTATATTCCCTTGGCCTATAAGTAAGCAATTTCACAATTTCTCTCTGAAGAATTCAGTCCTCAGCCTGTCAATCCTTCAGTCTTGCCTGTTTCTGACTAGTCTGATTAAGACAATTACATTGTGTGTGTGTGTGTGTGTGTGTGTGTGTGTGTGTGTGTGTGTGTGTGTGTGTGTACTTCTGTAAGAATGTGGCTTAATTTCGTAATCACCAAGGAGCCATTAGAACCAGAGAGTGCAGCTGGGAAAAAGCTAACCATCACATACTGTAGCATATTTGGCAGAGGTGAGTCGCAGCCACTGAGAAACTAGACGCCCTTGGTTGTCTAATGAGTGTTCATTATTCTTTATTTACACACTGCAGATATAAGAATTCCTCTCAGCAGAGAAATTCTTAACAACTCTTCTAATAGCAATACAAATCTCTGGTGATCAGTGCCAAAACCTGACAGCACCATGGTGTCACACACAAACCAAAAGCCAGGGTGTCAGCACCTTGGCAGCAGCCTGAACTGACATACCACCCAAAGGGACGGCTGCCAGTCTGAGCAGAGCTCTGACCATTGCTGTCCACAGGGGGCCGAACGCAAGAAAAGAAAACGGACACTGCCTCCTCATAGACCACAACACAAAACAACATTGTGACTGCAGTGAAATAAACCTGACTCTGTCCTGTTGATACACCCAACCAAGGCTCTGTTTAGGTGACAATACACTCTCTGGCTGAAATAAGAAACCAGCATCTAATTATTTGAACTTTAGTGTCTGAACACAATAGTTGACATTAAAACAGTTTGCACTACCTGGTGATTAAGGTCACATCTCTGTGATAATGAAGGCAGGGTGTCATAGATCAAACTCGACCCCACCATGACATGCACATTCCCGGGGTTTTGCAGGCAACCACCGCGTGGTGAAACCAGAATTTCCACTACACACAATTGCTCTACTCCTGTTCTACCAGTATGCTTAAGGACTATATAATTGTCCATCCTAGCTTTAAAAATGCACTGTAGTTCATTGTCATGTAATTATCACAGCAACACATCTCTCCATTTAAACACTCCTCTTTACAATATACATCCTAAATGCATCAGTTACAGCAGAGGAGGAATGTGCACGTTGATGTCTTTGGCAAAAAAATTAATTTAGTGCGTCAACATTTTGTATATTTAATGAGGAAGTCTATCACATAAACCCCCATTACAACCACAAGGGCACAAGCTACCTGTTATCAGTGCTAATTATTACTGATCACATACTTAGATCAGAGGCATGTCATGGAGCAGGTGGACTTTTCAAATACACAAAGTGGTAAAAGCATTTTGAATCTTTAGTTGCAATATTACATGTTAAACACATCGAATAGTCTACACTGGCAAAGGCTAAAATTCCACAAAAAAACTGGATTATTAACGGGGTTTTAGGAAACTATGCTTTGCCTGTGTTCTGTCTGACACGTCGCCTTGTGGGTTAATCGTGCTGCATTCAAATATATCGGATATATATGAGAAATACCCTCAGAAATGCACTGGCAATACCGCACTGCGGGCTTCCTTTGACAATGCGAATGACCTTTTTCGACGTAAGATCGCATAAAAAAAATTATAGAGTTAAAAGTGATATACGTGGTTTCATATCAACTCACTACTATGTTAATGAATTTATATGCTGATGCAAATTTTGTCCACCTCATTTTGTTACAACGAAAATCTGCCATTTTTCCTAAACAGAAAATCACGTGACCAAAATGTGTTTTATTAAACGTTTCGCTTTATTTATCCCAGTAACTTCTCTCTCAAAGGGTGGGGGGTTTGGGTGGGCTTCGGAGTAGTCATTGAACGCAGCATTGTAACGCAACTATTTGGCGACTGAATTCCACACAGATACCCACAGTTATATGAAATATGTAAGGTTTAATCGGTCGAAAACACCCTAAGGTAGTTTCTGATGAAAACTTGCAATTCCGGTGTGACTGCACATTTTGTTCAGTCGACAAGCCTTTCCGCGGATGAGGACTGCCAGTATATATACAAGGCCAACATACAACCAACGTAATTTAACCCTACACACGTTAGCCGCCAAGAAAGACGAGTATTGGGGGTTTAAGTTTAGCTCTAGCTATGTAGCTGGGGTATTGATGGCACCGAAAACCTGTATTATAACAGCCCCCAAACCAAAAGATGACTTAAACTAGCTATTATTTACTGTGTCGAACAGTGTCCTAAGCCCTAATTTTTAAGATTTGAAGAACGTCTTGTGATACGCAGAGAACGGTGAAAGGAATGTGTGGAGGACTGTAAGCTGAAGCAGAGCTGAATTATCGCGTCAAATGTAATGTTTGTATCAGTTTTGTTCATGCAACAATTCGGTTAATGATAATCCCTTAACTTTAGGAAACATTAAATTGCTTAACTCGTGCAGAAATATGACGATGAGCAACGCGTATGTAGGCTCTACGACTAATTCCCTCAATCAGTTTACCAGTGTGTTTCATTCATTTACCTATATTCCACTCAAAACCCAGCTTCTTCATCGTTTCGTGTTCTCCGGCAAGGTGATCCAACCTAGAATTTTGAATGAATGAATGAATGAACTCACCCGCCTGGCGATCTTGATACCATCCGTGGACAGTTTGCTCAGTAAACTGGCATTGGAGGACTGCTCACCTCCTTCTCCTTTTGCCATAGCAGAGATTCGCGTAAGTTACTTCGTTAAACCCGACACAAAAATGTGGATAAATCAAGCAAATCTTCTGGTAAGGTTTAAAGTATCACGTCCTATTGTGTACAGTCCAAAACTGGGTAAGATAAGGGTGGATGTAGTACTTTTTAGAGCTCCCCGCCCCCCTTTCAACGTACCATTCAGACCATGTTTACCCCGCCCTCCTGAAGGCGGGTCTGGCAGGCAGTGTAGTGCCACACTATGCATAATTATCTTGTAGCAGGCCCGGCCCTAACCAATTTGGCGCCCTAGGCAAGATTTCAGGTGGCGCCCCGTTGCATCGCAGTAAATTCCACTGCTAGTGTATATACTCATAAGAAACGTAATAGCTTTGTCTTGGACATTCTTTTATTTAAATAAAGCAATTGC